TCCTCTACACAAGATAAATAAAGAGAAAGCCACAACTAAACGTATCATAGTCAAGGTACAAAACATCAAAGATGAAAGGAAGATTTAAAACCCAGTGTCAGAAAAAAAAGGCAGGTTACTAAAAATGGAAGGATGCTTGGCTGACAGATAACTTCAAAACAATAATTAATAAATGATAGTATAGTAATAAGCTCAAAGTGCTGAGAGAAAATAACTGTCACCCTAAATTTGTGTATTCTGTTAAGTCATCATTCAGAATGAGGTCAATATAAAGATATTTTCAGATAAAAATTGAGAGAAGTTACTAATAATCCTTCACTAAAGAAATTTCTAAAAGAAGTTCATCTCCAGGAAAATGGAAAATAAACACCGGATGAAAGTCTGACATGCAAAAATGCAAAAATATATGATGAGCAAAGAAAACAGAAAATAATGTGGGTAAATATAAACAAATGTTAACTTTCTAATAATGAAAATTTCTAATTTATGGGTTAAAGAAAAGAACAAGACAGAACTAAAATTTGGCACAACAAAAGCATGTCAGTCAAAGGGATTGATTTGATCCAAGTTAAAGCTTCCTAAGGTCTTTGTCCTTTTAAGGAGGAAAATAAAGATATTAGTTTCAATCTTTAAGTATGCATTTCAAAATTTCTAAGGTAAATATAAATAACCAGAAATACTGTATATGATTTTCAAATCAGTTGGAGGAGGAGAAGAAAAAGAAACCTTCCATTATCCAAAGAGCAAAAAGGGAGAAAAAATGGGAACATTTGGAAAACTGGACAGTTTTAAAGCATACAATAAGTTGCTAGAAATATATCCAAATATATATGTAGATATGTATATATACATGTGTGTATACATAATAAGTATAAATGGACTACATCCTCAAGACAAATTTTTTTAAAAACCTAGCCATATGCAGTTTACTTTAAACAAACCAAAAACATAAGGACATATAAAAGATTACAAAGTAAATGATTTTTAAAAAATATATGCCAGAAAAATAACCGAAAGAAAGCAAATGTGGCACAGTAAGAGCAGACATAACATAATTAAAGGCAAAAATACTGCAAGAGATAACAAACATAAAGGCACAATAATAAAAGGTTCAATTCACCAGGAATACTTAACAATTCTAAACTTCTATGCACCTAACATCATAGCTGCAAAAAGCAAAAATACACAAAAACATTGAGAAATGGACAAATCTGCCATTATAGTAGGAGATTTTAACATCCCTAGTAATCGATAGAACAAATCAAAATTTGATAAAGATACATAACAACTAATCATCACAATTAACAAACTTGATCTGAAGGTAAAACATAGATGATGGCACAAAATAACTGGAGAATACTCCTTGTTTCTAAACACACATGGAACATTTATGCAAACAGGTCTCCACAAAGTTCTAAAAATCACCAATTTGGAATTTTAAAAAGTCTTCTAAATAACTCATAGGTTAAAAAAGAAATCATAATAGGAGGATAGGGATAATAATATTTTCATTTTACATAAAGGGAAATCAAGACACTGAATAAAGTAATAGGCTACAAAATAAAGATATAAGAATATTAAAGTTACTATAGCAAACAAAAGAAGAATTACAAACAAGGAGCAGTTTGGCGGTGGAAGGGAGAAGCAAAGTAGGTGATATAGGTAAACTAAGCCACATGTTCTATATTAGGTGTCAATAAAGAGTGTCTAAAGTTGATGTATCAAGAAATAAAGGTAAAAGCATAGCATTTAAAGTTATGGATGTAGGCCGGGCGCGGTGGCTCATGCCTGTAATCCTAGCACTCTGGGAGGCCGAGGCGGGCGGATTGTTTGAGCTCAGGAGTTCGAAACCACCCTGAGCAAGAGTGAGACCCCATCTCTACTAAAATTAGAAAGAAATTAATTGGACAACTAAAAATATATATAAAAAATTAGCCGGGCATGGTGGTGCATGCCTGTAGTCCCAGCTACTCGGGAGGCTGAGGCAGGAGGATTGCTTGAGCCCAGGAGTTTGAGGTTGCTGTGAGCTAGGATGACGCCACGGCACTCTAGCCCGGGCAACACAGTGAGACTCTGTCTCAAAAAAAAAAAAAAAAAAAAAAAGTTATGGATGTAATAACCACCAGAGGAAATACCAGAAATAGTTACAAAGGAATGAGACTAAAGGTGAGGAAGGACAGGGAGGGAGGCTACTGTTCTGTGTCAAATGTTCTTATACACTGTTTGCTTTGTTGTCAAGTACAAATATTATTTGGATTAAACTAAAATCATTTTAGCTCAAAAAAATAATGAAATGAGCTAACGTACGTGATTTAGACAGTGCTTGGTATATACAAACATTCTGATTAACTGAAGTCATTTTTACGAATGCAGTGCTAACAAATGACATCATCTAGCACAGTATCTGGCATATAGTAAATACTAGTTACAAGCCCCGTCTCTAACCCAGGATTTAAAGCCTATATCTTACTATTTATATTTTTGCTCCAGTCTCTCCTGCCTTTCCTTCAGAATATTCAATCTGGTCCATAATTTAGCAATGATCCAAAATTTAACTGGACACAAGTATGGTCCATACATAAGAGAGAAGAAGCTCTCATCTTAATACTGATAAACAGTTCTGCTAAAAACAAAGATATTTTAAAATCCTACTTATTTTTCTAACTGAAAAATGAGGAAAGAACAATACGAATAGCCCCTTTCTTTGGGGGAAGTGCAGGAGAAGGATTTGTTAAACCTGAATGTTACCACAGTACTCTGGACTTTTCTATCATAGAACTTACCAAATGGTGCCATAATTACTTATTCCTCCCTCCCCTGGCAGCTGTGAATGAAGGTAGCTAACAGGAGCTGTATTTTGTGTATCTTCTATTCACCTGAATACCCAGCATAGTACATGACAAGTGACAAACAGTTGGTGCATATTTGTTGAACAAATGGATGTTTATTAAGCTCTTAGCACTTTTAAGGGGTGGGGGAAGCAGTTGAACAGGAATTATGTGGACTAAGTTTAAAATCCAACACATCATTATCAAATTCACAATATTGTGGGTTTTGTCCATGTCTACAGAAGTCAATATATTTCCCTAATTAGAAAAAGCAGATTGCAAAAATGCTAGCTGATGCTATATATCATTTCCAAACTTGTTCTGGGCAAATAAAGTAACTTCTCCCTTAAATACTTCTACATGGGAAACAGTTAGACTTCCAGGAAAACTCAAACTTAAAATATACATGAAATCCACCAAGAAGACCAACGCAGAAGAGTTCACTGAAATGCTATCTTACCTAATGTCTCCCTAACAGCTTGGAGTTATAGGAAGAAAGGGAAGCATTTCCCTTAACTTCATAAAAAAGGCTCCACAATTAATAAATAATAACAACCATAACTATGCACTGAACATTAAATGCTTTACATGTGTTGACTTGCTGGATCCATAAAATAATCCCATTTTACCATAATCCCAGAGGTACCACTACCCACATTTTTCAGATGAGGAAATGCGGTCACATCACAGGGCTAGAATCCAGGCAGTGTGGCTTCAATACAAACTTAATTTCTCACCTGCCAATGGGTAAGGCATTGCGGATGATCCTCTGGCTGCCTCGGGTATATTCAATATCGACTGTAATGGGCGCAGAGTATGTCATGTCCCTTAAACGGCACTGAAAGAGAATAAGGAATCCAATATTTATTGCTCTTCCTCTCAGGAAAAGAAGAGGTACATCACTTAAGAGCTCAGTTTCTAGTACAAATTGTGGCCCACATTGAACTTTGATCTCTCCTCCACTGAGCCATTCCATGTGCTGCCTCAGGATATTGGGAGTTATCAGCCTACCTTCTCCATGAGGGGAATGATGTCATGTATTGATCTACACACTGCCACAGCATCCCTGGCCCTGCCAGGCCAAAAATGGAACAATAAATCTGGTACTAATTTTCTTCTCACTGATCTGATGCCATCACCAGTCTGTTCCCGTATCTTTAAAGCAGTTGGACTGGTCCTTGCAAAGTGGGTCCATGGGAAGTAATCAACATAGCTTGGCTTGTTCAAAACAGTTAACAACCAGTATAACAATAACTAAAGTATATACACATACAAATTTAAACTATACTTCCTTTTATTCTCCAAATATACTAAATTGTATTACAAAACTCCTTACCAAGTGGTATGTTATACCACAAATCATTCATCACATCATTCTAACAATTTCTGAATCATTTGCAGGATTTTAGAAATTGTTGGTGTGTGCTTTAGTTACCCATGGTGATGACTAGGCTAAATGATGCCCTTGCCTAAGCCATGATCAGACATAGGAAACCCCATTCAAATCTTCTGATGACTTCCCCATTACACTGATGGTCATCGGTGGCTTGTAGTCTCAAAAAGAGAGTTTGTCTGAACATCAACCATACAATTCATGGTGCTGAATCCTCTCTCTGGCTTCTACTGAACAAAAGATAGTTAGATGTGAGCTTCTTCTAGCCTTTGTGTCTGTGATCTTTAAAATATTAAATATTCCTATTATTAACCAATAAAAATAGGTTATGTTAACTAGGTCAAGCCTCCTGCTTCAGGCCAGATCAAAGGCACTGTGGCATGGTAGTTAAGAATGTGAACTCTATTGCCTAGGTTCAAATCCTGGCTCACTTAAATTTTAAATAACTTTTCTGAATCTCAGTCTCCTCATATATAAAACTGGGAATGAGAACGATTATTTTAATTCCCAAAGTATAAATATGTATGTTTAGAATAGGTCCGATACACAGTACTATATATTATCTCATTTTTATTAATAAAATTAATGTAATGACAATGATAGGGAAGCGATCAGTGAGTTTTAACAAACTCATCCCTTCAAGCGGAAATAAAATTCAACAGATGTAGTTAACATAATGACAAACGCAGTCTCAGCTTTTTTGGACTCCTTCAAGCTACTTTGTCTTCTCCCTTCTTGAACTTGGAAATATAGTTTAGAAAATAACTTGGAAATTGCCAATTGGTGCCTCATTCTTGAAAAATTGGAAAGATCTAGCAAAATGAAATGAGAAAAAGGAGAAGGCCAAATTGGGGCACATACTTTCCAATATCCCACAGCCCTAACCACTCCCTGTTCAATACAAGTCAACATATTTACCTTATCGACCTGGCCCTTCCAGGCATTTAAGTTTGCAATCCTCCATGTCTCTCTGCCATGTGTTTCGCTATTTTAAGCCACAAGAGTATAAACTCTTTGAGAAAGAATATTGTGTCTCACTTCTTTTTTTCAATGCTGAGACCCAAACTAAATGTTCAATAATACCTGGTGATTAAATATCAAAATTTACCTATATAGAATGACTGGTTACTTGATCATACTACCTGTTTAATCTTGCTTAGACAATAACTATAACCGTCTAATACTTTACTTGTTCTTTAATAAAGGTCCCTGTGATACATTCCCTAATTGCTATTTCAGCTTTACCCTAACACAAACCACATGAATCTACAAAAATCTTTTTCTTTCTTGAATCAATTCCCAATTACGGACACTAAGTGAAGGAATTTAATGAGAAATCTAGAATGTGTTAAAAGTCAATAAATAGACCTGTCTTCCTATAACCCTTTGTTTATACATCTATTAAGACCCTCATATTTCAGTATTCTTTTCATCTGTCTCCTATTAGACTGTGAGTTCCTAGTCCTCAGTTTCCTCTGCCTAACACCATGCCTGGTTGATCCTCGAAAAGCGTGCTGAGTGAGTGAGTGACGCCTGTGAGGAACAGCACACCACGCAAGGCACAGGTGGTGGGGGGCAGGAGACTGCTAAAAAGCTCAGAAACAGGACATTAATAGGACACACAAATATAACAGTGCAAGCTGATTAGGATTAAATGATAAAATAAATAGTGCAGAATTGTTTTCTAATATACTATAGTTTTATACAAGTGCTTATTTATTTTGATTTATCTCAGAGGAAATTTTGTCTTTCCTGTTTTTAAATCATCTTTTAAAAGTATATATTAAGGGCAGACTCTTTAAGGTAAAGCAAACAAGTCCAATTAAAGTAAGATTTATAGTAATTACCTCATGAGGGGACACTGGTCTAGTTACATTGAAGCTTTCTTCAACATCAGGAAGCCCAACATAGATATTAAGATATCTGAAAAGCAAATTATTCCAGTACCAATTATACTACTTCAAAACATATAAACAAGCTATTTTCCTCCCAAATACAAGAATTATGTTTCGGCAAATGCTTACCTTGCTAAGGATAACAAGTTAAAAATTATCATTTGAGATCTTCTTGGAATGATAGTACATATAGCTTTACCAAAGAGAGAAAATACTATCAAATCATTTTTTAAAAA